TATTAAAGACTGCATTCTACAAACCGAATAAATGAAGCTTCTTCTTCACCTATCTCCCCCCGCCCTCCCCTTGATTAATTCTACAATTTTTTCCCCAATTATCTCACTTATGCTAAATTATGAAGGACCTAAAAAAAATTCAAAATTTTTAACACAAAAGTTTCCCCCCCAGAATAGTAGAAGTTTGCCCGTTCGGCTTGGAGCTCCACCCTAATTTACTGTTACTGCGTTCGCAGTCCCTAGATGATATGCCTATACTCGGGCCCACCGTGATGGTGGATCAAGAACTCATCTCCGCCGTTGGATACGCCGAAAATGGATGCTTGGCTCATCAGTTGTTGGTGCTGCTGCCTTTGCAGCTCCTTCTGCCTCCTCAGCTCCAATACCTTCCGATGAGAATTCGAGTGCCTCGTCGACACGAACGTCGGGCTAGCCGCCGGTCGATACTCCGCCACCAGCCTGCCGGACTTGTATCGGACTCCACAAGCATTGCACAGCGTCTTCGGACCCATCGGGCCTGTCCGCCATTGCGGAGTCTTCTCGGCGGCACAGTGCAGGCATTTCCTCCCTGAGGAATCGGAATTTGAGCTCTCCCTCTTCTTAACTGCCGTCGCCTTAGCTTGCACCGGTTTGGCTTCCGTCGTGGTTGTCTGGTCGTGCGGTCCTGGCGTTACGAGATGGAGGAAGCGCGTGGACCAATCTCCAGGAGCGGCGCGTGAGCGCTTGCTCCGTGCTTTGCCTGGGAGTGGAGTTTCAGAACGGAAAAACGGTGCGTTCCGAGCTGCATCGGGAGCGAAAGGCGGGAGGGTTTCGGAAGAGGAGGAAGATTCTGGAGTCTGAGGTTTGGCGCCAAATGCGGAAGCGGTGGTGGTGCCGGATAAAAGGTGGAGTGTTTTCAGCTCGTCTTGTGCGGTGAACGAGTCTTCCACGAAGTTCGATAGCCATTCCAGTTCCGCCATGTCATCATACTGCAATAAATCCATCAATCAAGACAAATTTCCATTGCGAATTCAAAGCATTTCATATCACATTTTCACGTAAAAGAACAAATTCAACCTGAGAGTAAAAAATTCACAAACCGACAAAAGAAAGCTGAGGGAAAAAAACTCCAGTAATTATCAGAGAGCTTATCATTTAAACTTGACCAATAGCAGCTTCAGCTTAGCGATAAAACAAAGACTCACCGGCACACAGAGTTCACCAGATAGCTGATGATCGCCGAAGGGACGAGGGCCAAAGTTGGCGGAGAGAAACGGTTGTCGACACGAGAAACTGAGGAGTTGCAGCTGTCAACAGCAGTGCCGGTGGATGAGTCGGTGGAGTTGCCAGCGACATTATCAAGGAAAGCATCGGACATGATAGCGTCGGCATGGGAGAAGTCAAGGAGGTCATCGACGGCAAAAGGCTCGGCAGGCTTCTGGTCAGAATGGCGCTTTTCCGGAGAGAAATGGTCCCCTCCGGAGGCGAAGTAGGCACCGACAAAGTATTCAGGCACTTCCATGAACGAATAATGTGTATGATTGTAGAGAGAAGGAGTGAGAAAATGAAAGCTTGCTGTAATTAAAGAGAAAGAAAGGATTGGGGTCTCTCCGTGTGTGGGTGGGTGTTTGTGCGAAAGTGAAGGAGGGAGAGGTGGGGTTTTGAGGAGTAAAGCTGTGGCAAAATTGTAATTTAAGCAACATTGGAGCATCTTTTCCATGCAGAGATATATGGATATAATAATACTAAGTGACTTGCAAGTTCTGTAAAGTTATTGCCGCTGCAGTTTTATTTTATTTTATTTTATTTTCTCTTTTATTTGGTATGGTAAGTTATTTATTCAACAAGATATTATTACTATTTACTACTATTAGCTAATTTATTTATATTTCAGCATTATTATTACTAAGTCTAAATACAATGTAACTCATTCAATATAATTTTTCTCATTCACAGTATTTGAAATTTTGATTTTTGCTTCATTAACATTAAATCCCTTTCATTCAATTTAATTAATGTCAGTTTTTCTTTACTCTTTGAATTGCTTTCAGTTTTTCCCCTTTTACGCTATACTGTATTTAGGTAAATTAATGAATAACTTTGTCAGTCAAAAGGCCAACTTGGCCAATTTGGGTAACAATGGTACTCATTTGGTACACTGGTGTATAACACACTCATATATATTAATTACTATTAGCTAAATATTGTACTACCTGCGGTGCTGATTATAAAAATTAGTTCACTAATTTGAAGAGATTAAAAAAATAAGTTAAGTTAGTTATTTGTAATAAATTGGTGTTGTCTTTTCCAAAATATCTTTGCTAATCAAGTGTGTTGGGAGGATTACCTTGAAAAAAGACATAGAGACAAAGTGGATTAGGATCTTATATTTAGGATCAAAATAAAATTCAAACAATGTCTTATATTAAGGATCGGAGGTAGTATATAATTATATAAAGAACCACAAAATCTGTAAATAAATCATGTTGAGTGTGTGTTTTATATAATTATTATTTTTTTCCTCTCATATATGCTGTTATCCATTTGAAAATTCATGTAACCCGGGGCAATGTTGGTTTTATATTATTCGTAATAATTTTTAGTTATGATACTAAATATAAAAAATCTCATATAACATGTAAAATAGAAATGTAACAAAATGAGTTATATATTTTTGGTATCATCAACATACCACATACAAATCCAATCATCCTTTGCGATAGAAATTGACCATAAACAAAAACTGTGTTTTATTTTTATCCATTTTTAAGGGTTCATAGATAACAAAAATGGGATTGTGGTCAATTATTGTTACTTTATAAATTTGGCATTAGTTATTTACATTTTACTCCTTTTATTGCAAATGACTTTTATGATAATAGTTCCAAAAGAAGGGGCTTGATGACTTTTTATTAACCCGTAAAATAAAAAAATTGATACCACTATTTGAGCTGCAAGTTGATATATTGGATATTGTAAAGCAAGAACTGATCAAATCTACCTTCTTAAAAAACACACTTATTATATATTAATTATTTGTGCTGAAGGTTGTTAATTTAATTAATAAATTGAGACACAATAATGAGTCCAAAAAATTACTAAGAATTCACATGACATCGAAAAATAAAAGAATGGGCATAAACAGGTGTTTTTGGTTGATGAAATGAATAGTAATCATGTGGCCTATAAAGGAATCAACTGCAAGCAGCAGCACAATTAATTAATAAAAAAAATTAACACCATCTCAAAAAACAAGAACAAAAACAAAAACATTCATTTACTTTGTAGCAAAATATGACCAAATTATATATGAATTCTCATAAAATTTTATTAATTAACCATAAAAATTCACAATTTTTAATTTTTACCAAATATAACCTTACACATTAATTAGACCAAATCAAAGCAAGAAGACAACCACTAATTTAAGGAATGGGTGGGTGCATTATTAACGCATGAATTAACAATGATTAAAGGTAAACTAACGTGAAGAGGAAAAAATAATTCAACCCCAGAAGAATCAATCTCTGCACAAAAAGGAAAAGCAAAAAAAAAAAAAAAAAAGAATCAAACAGTGGCAGGTTTTGTCGCTGTCACTCATCCAATAGTGTCCAAGTTTACAGAGAGGGGGGAAGCTAATAATGTTTAATGCTTAGGGAATTGTGCTTAAAGAAATTAATTAAGAATTAATGAAGGGTTTCATTCTGACTTAATCACAATATTTTAGTGGAATTATCATTTGTACTTTCTAACCCTTCTTCCCCCTATCATGACTTGTTATTAATTCCTCCTTTCACGTTTTTGCACGATGCTTACAGCTCAACCTCACTACTCCTACTCCAACCCCTCCTCCTTCCTTACTATTCTCTCTTGCTTCTTTCTCCCTTTGTGCTCATTTTTATAGGCACAGATTTCTTATGATGAAAATAGAAATTAACATTAAATTGATGAAAACATCATAACATGTATATCTTATATATAACTCTTGTCATTTCTAAGTTGACACAAATGGTCTTGACCATGATCTGAGAGAAAATTTCCAGCTCACCTCATTGATGTGTTATAAGTCTCATATTACAAAGTACTTTATTTTAGAAGTGGAGTTTATAAATTAAAGGAGGTTATTAAGCTTTTTAATTATACTTTCTTATTTTTGAAATTATACTCATTGCAAATGCTTTTATTGAAATGTTAACCTCACATTATGACTATTTATTGAGTGTTTTGATCAATACAGGGTCAAATTAACGCAGAGTGCATTCACCGAGATGTTGACTCTTAAACGGATACACATTGTTATGTGTGCTTATATCATAATTTGCATTCAACCTTTCTCCCCTTGAAATTATCACATTCTAATTTGCCATCTAATTCTTATATAAAGGTTTCTTTTTTTTTTAATAATTTTTTTAGGGTTTTTTTTACAAGTCTCTCCCATTGAACTTATTTTAGAACATTTTATCCTTTACTTTTTGATATAATTTGCTTTTTATTAAGCATTTTGTGAGAATCATTTTTAGGAGGAATGTCTTAGAATCTAAGGACTAATTAAGTAATTGCAACTTGGATGAGAGGCAAATTGAGCATTTTGAATAAATAGGTAAATAAAAAGATAGTTTACACACACAAAAAAAGTAGTTAGACTATATGCAATGGATAGAAACACATAGTTCGGCTAAAGCTATATCCTTTCATAAAATTTATTTCTTTTGCCAACAAGCTTTTATAAATTTTTTAATCATATAATGACAAGCTTAATTATTTCACAACCCTTAAACAAATTCATCAAGATCAATATACGTCTCTAAAGTCAAAAAGGGTCTACGAAGATGCAACATTTATATATATGTGAGCTATATAATTATTTATGATTTTAGAATGAAAGTTTCGAATGATGTTTTTTTTTTTGTTAAGGCATAGGTATCCTCCTATTGGAGGCAATCCTATTCAAGACACTGTCAGGTACTAAATGTGGACACCTCTCCAGTGAGGATTCAAACCTTAATTTGTCACGTTGTGAGGGACTAGTCCTTTCTGTTAGACCTAACCCTTATTGGTAGTTTCAAATGATGTTAATTGGTTGATGTTGGTAAGAAATGGGGGCATGAAAGAGGAGGCAAGTGGATTGGGCAGGGCTCATGGGACTCTAATCCCCATGTTAATGCATTCGGTAAAGCGGATAAGGTGTTTACAGTTAACCATTCCCATTCCATTTTAACCTCTTCCTTTTCTTGGACCCCCCCAAAAACAAAACTTCATTTTTTAAAAAAGTTTTGGAATAGATGTTAGGATTAGTGGGGCCCACGGAGCACGTGAGAAAGGCAGTGAGGGTTGTCACTTGTCAGCCATCATGTGAGCCCATGGCAAAGTTGACCAAAACCACAATACAACAGCCTTAACTTCAACGTTAAACCACTCACACCATCAAGCATTTTTTTTTTTAATAGAATTTGTCTTTTTTTTTTCAACATTTACACATTCTTAAATTAATCCTCTTATATATATATATTAACTTTTCTTTGATGTCTTACATTACAATACAGTTTTATTTATTTTTATAATAGTATTTTTATTATTTTGTTTCAAATATAAACAATTTGGGATTGATATATAATTATAAATAAAATATCATTGGAAGAAGGAAATGGTAATATTTTTTATTTTATTTTTTTTGGGAGTAGTTTGAATTCTATTTGTAGATGCTATAGTCACATCCCACCTGACCCTATTCCCTATCATGTGATTAAAAGTAATAAGATTATAAATTAAAGTTCAAATAAGTTGAGATAGAAAGGAATAATCAAATTGGGCCTCTAGTGGCCGGGAAATTGGGGAGGCCCAGCTTTCTTCGCTGCTTCCTCCGCACGTGCGTAGTGCCGCCCATGTCTCAGCAGTGAATAATATTACGCGGCGCAGCACGTGCACCACACGCATTGCACGTGACTTTTTTGGTGGGAAGACTGGAAGGCCGACATATCTTTGAAATTAGTGTTTGGTATTCTCTCTCTGTTCTTTTTTAGTTTTGTTTTTACAGGTTTGAGTGGCGGTAATGGCCGTGATGGGCCTTGTGTTTAAGGTAGCCCACATCAATACGCCCAATAAGAAAGTACGGCTTGGGCTGCCCTTTTATAAAGAGAATCGTAGGTTCAAGTGGTCCAATAACGTAGGGTCTGCACTACCCCCAGTACGATGCAGAAGGTTAAACAAACTTGTCACCAAACACAAGTCAATAGCAAGCCTTTCCACTTCTTCAAGGACCTGTTTGGATGACAAAGCAAACCATGGTTTGGAAGGCAAAGCTATGGTTTGCACAAAATGTCATCCAAACAGGTTTAAAAATTCTCAAACCGTGGTTCCAGGTAAAACCATGGTTTCCATTGGTGAAACCATGGTTTTATTAGAAGCAGAAATTTGTCGCTTCTAGGCAAAAAAATTTGAGTGAAGCGGAGTAATAATTGGAGGCAATAGTCATTGACCGAAAATACCCTTCTTCCTTTGCTTCACTAGCTGACACTTTGGAGTGATTATTTTCTATCTCACCCAGCTCGAATCTGACCAATATTCAGCTCGCCTCTTCGCCCTTTCTTGTCAGCTCACCTCTTATATATTATTCATAAGCTCGCCTCTTAATATTTTTTTGTTAGCAAAAAAAATCATTTTTCTATAAATATTTAATATTATGTTTTATAAATATATATATACACATTAATTATATTATCTTATATTATAATTTTATGTTAGTAAAATTATTTCATTAACAATTTATTTTTTCAAATCAAAATATTATAAAATCTATCCCTTATATAATTATCATATTAACTTATGCCCTTTTTATAATTTGCACATGTAAAAAGTGCTTCTGGTAACAATTATCCAAACACTCTCACTTCTTAGAATCACTTTTTCACAGAACCTATTCTCTCTAAAATCTATTCTCCAGAAGCTATTGTTCAAACCATGGTTTGGTTTCATCCAAACACCTCCAAGTCTTGAACCGTAGCCCTTGTTCTTATGTTTTCAACCTAAACCATAACCTATATTCATTAACTCTCACAACTCCCATTGATAAAATAAAAGACATTTATGTATAACTAAAAATGTGTTAGATACAGTTGAATGAAGGTCACATTTACCTAACTCCTCAAGAGATCAGTTTTGATCCTAAATGAAAGTTACATTTACTCCCTTTTTGTCCACAGTACCACCACAATCGTAAATGCAAGTCATTTGTAGGGAAAATTTTTAGTCCTAAATATAAGTCACTCATAATTATAGTATATTTAATATTTATTTTCCAATTTACCCTTACTCAATTCTCATTGGAAAGACAAAAACAACAGAGAAATATGAGCATGATTTGTAATTGTAGAGAGAGAATAAGGGTAAAATTGAAAAATTTTGTCCATTTAATGCATTCATTGGCATGCGAAAATATGTTATAAGTGATTTGTATTAACAACCAGATTAGTATAAGTCATTTTAACAAATTCATAAGAACTAAGACATGGTAGCTAACTCATTAAGTTTGTCTTAAATTGTTAATTCTATATAATTTACTCATATTAAATGAGATCATGGAGGACAGGTCTGCTTGTATTTTTTTTAAGATAATAATCATTATTTTGGTTTGCCTCTACTGGACTGGCTGAACTGGTGGTTCGAATTCAATGTTTCCAAGTTTTCCATTGATTTCTCCTCATTCTTTCATTTTAGGGCTTTGCTTGCCTTCAAGGTGGAATCTGTCTCTCAAAGCATGGGGCTGCCGAAAAGAGCTGAATGAAGAGCAGAATGCTCATTGCATCTGCTTTATGTTCATGAACTGATCTTTTGTTTGATGGCAGCAGTAAATTAAAAATGTTAGAGTTGAAGTAGTGTGCATTAAGACTTGAATCTTGTTTGGTCGTTTGATTTGCTCCGTATCCACTGGAATTTATATCAACACTTGGATTGCAAACAGAAGACTGCTATGCTATATTTGCTTGTTTCCTCTATCCTCTCGGTTCTCGTGTATTTTGATAACTTATCAGTGGACTATGCATTTTTCTTATGATAAGGACGCATTATTATTAGGACACCCTTCTTCTCCAAATATTAACATAAGGATCTTATTGCCTTAAACTAAAAAAAAAAAAAAGGATCTTATTACCTGGCAATCTCCTTTAATATAATACTCCTCTAGTCCTTAATATAAGACATATTTAACTAATTTGATTAAATTAAGAAAGTTAGGTAAGTTAGTTAATTAAGAAATATGACATGTTTTTTTTTAAAACACCATAATCATCTTTCTTAATATCCTTCTCCCTCACTTACTTGATTATAGTTGAAAGAATATCCATAGGGATAAATTAAGAAAAACTGATAAATATGATAAATAAGTCTTATATTTAAGACCAAAAATTAACTTAACAATAGGTTTATATTAACGATTAGAGGAGTATTAGTCAGCTCTCAAAACAAATGAACCTTTTTTTTAAGACAGAGAGCTCACAAATATCATGGCTAGTTCCTCACAACATAACAAACTCAGGTTTGAATTTCTATTAGAAGAAGCGTTCACATTTCGTGCCCAATAATTTCTCAGACGGGAATGCCTCCAATAGATGGATACTGGTGCTACCAAACAAAAAACTCTACAAATTCTAGAATATTCCTCAGAATACGTAGATTGGTTATTATATTTCATTGCTTATGTATTGCTTACACGATCAATCATCCATATCCACAACTACTACATGATGAACCCAGCTATATCAGATTGAGACTACTCCTTCGTCTTCCTCCTAATATCTTTTCCTCATTCCAACTAACTCCATCCGCTTTTTCATTCATTCACTGTTGCTCGTTCACTTGCTCGTGATCTTCAACTTTTCGTTGTGGACGAAACCCCGGACCCTCATTATATTTAAGCCCTTATCTTCTAATAATTAATTACCTTTACCACCAACCCACCAGGCCTTCCAGCATGTGAATACCCTTATCAACTTGTATTATGCTAAGGTGGTAAAGTGATGACACTGCCTTTTCTTAGTAACGGCTCCAAAACTTGCACGTTAAACACAAATAATGCAACTTACTTATTTAATGTTCATCAGCCACAAATATAAAGTTAAAAAGCTGAACCCCATGTTGCTTTCTTCATAAATGGCTTCTCAAAAGTTCTATCAAGTTCACGACTTGAGAAAACTGACATCTCAGCTCCCATCATCCATACAATCTCCTATAAATATTGTACGATTCAGACTGTAACTTGTCATCTACAGTTATCCTCGAAAACCCGTTCAGCAGATCATCAAAAAATTTAGTCTTTATTACCTCGTACTTCGTTTGTCTGCAGAACTACTATATGGCACCCTGCAACATGTCCAAGTCCAGCAACAACCTTCAAAGAACGGTGTCGGACATATCCTACGAGATCTGCAAGGAAGAAATCCAAGATCAGAAGGCACTGCCACCAATATCAGAGGTTGAAGACGCCAAGTGTGAGTGCTGTGGGATGAGCGAGGAGTTCACGACGGAGTACATAGAGCGCGTGAGGGACAAGTACTTGGGGAAGTGGGGAAGTGGTGTGTGGGCTGTGTGCTGAGGCAGTGAAGGAAGAGCTGGAGAAGAATGGAGGGAGGAAAGAGGAAGCCCTAAACGCACACATAAGCGCGTGTGTTAATTTCAACAAGTATGGACGGGCTTTTCCTGTTCTGGTTCAAGCTCAAGCCATGAAGGAGATGCTGAAGAAGAGCAAAAGCTTGATGGAAGAAGAGTCAGGTCCTTTAAACCCCAGAGACAGCAATAATGATAACAAGAAAGGAAGCCTTGCAAGGAGTTCAAGTTGCATCCCTCAGCTTAATTTCTCTTGAGGGATAATGATTCTCTTCTTCTGCTGGATAATATATAATATATTATATATATATTTTATATCTTCTTCTGGCGCTAATTATTCTGCTCAAATTCTTACATGCTATATATATGTGTGCGTGTACAATCAGAATTTTTGATCCGCATCTGAAACTCACATGTCAGATACAATCAAAACTAAGTTCTGATTATTGCATGGACTTGTATTATATATGGTATTTGAACTAGGGCAATGAACTTCATCTCTCTGACTCTGTGTTAGATGAAAAAATCTCGTTTATCACTGGAACTGCCAAAAGGTGACATGGCAGTTTTTCGTTGAAATATATACATACAGACACAATTGTATGTATATTATAATATGTTGTGTCTTGAACTGCTGCTTATGACCTCTATTTTTTTTCGGAGAAGCAGCTTGTATTTGTCACGGGAGAG